ATATTATCCTATCAATGACAGCATTGTACTTCAGGACAGATCTTGAAACATCCTTTGTGATGATGAATGCCATGCCATTCCTCTTCAAATTGTCATTCCTGCCATAGTAGATCATATGGTTGTCTGATTCAAAATGGTCAAAATCAGTCCATTTCAGCTCATATATGCCTAGGATATCAATCTTTATGTATTCCATTTCACTTTTGACCACTTCCAATTTTTCTAGATTCATACTTTGTACATTCCATGTTCTGATTATTAATGGATGTTTGTAGCTGTTTCTCCTCAACTTGAGTCATGCCACGTCAGCAAATGGAGGTCTAGAAAGCTTTCCTTTATCCATAACAGTAAGGTTGGTTCTACTCTGATGATGCAGCTCAAGGGAATGTAGATACAAAAAAGGTAAGTGTGTGTCACATTAAAAAAAAAAAAAAAGGCAGAATCTGTGGATTTAACATATGGTGGAAATGCTGGTTGTCCACCAAAATGTCTTTTCCCTTTTGTCCATAACAATTAGATTGTGGTTGGGCATTGGACTAGATAGCTAGGAAATATTCCTCAACCCTTGCTATGACATATAGCCTTGTGACTAAGTTCTTACCAACAGAAGTGAGTGGAAATAATGATAGCTTCATCTAGTTAAGGAACTTTAAGACACAGGTGTGTCTCATCATTATAAATATCCAAAGCAAGGAAACTCATCCCCCACTTGCCTCCTCACTCCCCCTTCCAAGACTTGAGGGAAAAGGCTCGGCCCAGAGCTCCCTTCACTTCCTTGTTCCGAAGACTGTAGATGAGAGGGTTGAGCATTGGCGTGACAATGGAGTAGAAGACGGAGACCACCTTGTTGAAGCTGATGGAGGAGGCCACCTTGGTGCGGACATACATAAAGAAGAGAGTGCCATAGAAGAGGCTCACCACAGTCAGATGAGCTGCACAAGTGGAGAAGGCCTTCCGGCGCTCAGTAGCTGAGCGCATGTGCAGCAACATCCAGACGATGTTGCCGTAGGACACGGCAATAACTGTGGAGGAGGCCAGGAGCACAACTAGAGAGACAAGAATGTCTGCAGTCTCATTCAAGGTGACATCTGAGCAAGACAAGGCTAGCAAGGGAGCAGCATCACAGAAGAAGTGGTCGATGACATTAGGACCACAAAATGTCAGCTGGGATGTGAGGTAGATGGGCAACACAGGTGTGAGGAAACCCATCAGCCAACAAGCAGCTGCTAGGCGGACGCAGGTGCCCCAGGACACCAAAGCCCCATAACGGAGAGGCATACAAATAGCCACATAGCGGTCATAGGCCATAGCAGCCAGCAGGAAACACTCAGTTGCCCCAAGGAAGGTAAAGAGGAAAAGTTGGGACAGGCAGCCAGCATAGGAGATGTTCTTGCCTCCATCCACCCCAATAAAACCGGCCAACATCTTGGGCACTGTGACGGAAGTGTACCAGATTTCAAGGCAAGATAAATGTGTCAAGAAGAAGTACATGGGCCTCTGTAGCTGATGGTCCAAACACACCACCAAGATAATGGCCAAGTTCTCCACCAAGGTGAGCAAGTACATGGTGAGGAAGAGTGTGAAGAAGAGGAGGTGTGCCTCAAGTACACCACTGAAGCCCACCATGACAAATTCTGTTACCTGGGTCCTGTTTTGAGTATATGATTGCATGTATGGGAATGAGAAGGCAGTAGACTGATAGCCTCATAAATAATGAATGCTCAGAGAACTTATAAGGATATTGGACTGAAATACCTTTCAATTTAGAACAGCAATGTGAAGTCAAGTCAATGTCCCTATCCTGCAGGAATTTCCAGTCTGTGAGGGACTCAGGCAAGCAGATGACTCCAGAACAAAATGAAAAGTGCTGCACAGGAATAAGATGGAATATTATGGGAGACAAAGTTTTCCAGTACTGTATCAGATGATGTTTCACAGGTATTTGTAAGGTCTTCACTGGCCAATTCTTTTGAGAAATGGATGGCCCCTTCCTTCTTCTAAGTCTGTATTAGTCTGGAAGCTCCACTGAAACATGTCCACCATGGGTGACCCTGCTGCTATTTGAAATGCCGGTGGTATAAGCTCCAGCAACACACAGGCTACTACAGTACGACAAACTGACAGATGAGTGGTGGCAGATGCTGGAGAGTCGCAAAAAGGGGAAGGCCCTCAACGAGATGGATTGACACAGTGGCTGCAATAATGGGTTTAGGTATAGCAAGGACTGTGAGGCTGGTGCAGGGCCAAGCAGTGGTTCGTTCTGTTGTACAGAAAGTCACTATGAGTTGGAGATGACTTGATGACAACTAACAACAACAATTATGGGAGGAAAATAGCAGAGGAACTTACCAGTCTTCAGGAAACAGAGAAATCATCCTTGAGGAAGGTCTGTCTAAGCTAGAACCTGAAGGGAGTGGGGGAAAAAAGTACAGGTTACTGAGATGAACGGTGGAGAAGTGGCAGGGAAATGGCAAGTATAAAATCCCAGGCAGAGAGAACACTGGGCATTTGAGGAACTTCAGAAAGAAACAATTTGCCATAGCAGTAACAGCTTACCTTTCTGATCAAGAATATTTGGCTTTAAATTTGATAAGAGATTCTAACAGAATTGTTTTGAGGATTTAGATAATTTTAGTTTAAACTACTTATCATATTTGAGGGAGCTCTGGTGGCATAGTGGCCTAAGGCATTTGACTGCTAATCAGAAGTGAGAATGGACAGAAGGAAGATTGGGCAATCTACTTCCATAGAGATATCACCTCAGAAACCCAAGGAGGGGTCATTATGAGTCAAATCAACTCAATGGCAATGAGTTTGG